TAATGCCACGAGGCTAGTACGCTGGTGCATGTGTGACCAAGCCTTTCAACCAGCCGCAATATCAAGCAGCCTCGTGGCCCGCGTAGAGCGTCGCAGGTAGCGGTGGCTGGAAAGCGCGAAAAGTAGTGACGAGCGCGGAGAATTCGCCAAGGATTGGGAAAGGGAGTCGGGCGCAAAGTCAAAGAAACGCAGAGAATACGAAGGATAAAGATAATTTATATAAATTATTTAGGAGAAAGCGTACAGTAGTAAATCGGTAGAGAGAGAGAGAAGCGAGCAGGCAAGCGAGAGAGAGTTAATCGAGTCGGTACTTACAATGAGGCGTCAATGGCCAGGCCCTCCGCGCGGTAAATGCTCGCTCGCTGAACAGCGTTCCTGGACGCCGGTTGCAGTGGTGACGAAATGAGGGCTACCTCGCACTACGTCCTTGCACGAACACACTGTCGTGTCAAGGTGTCGCACCACTGCACGCACTCGCGAATACTCTAAGGCAATGCCGGGTCGGAAGTCCGAATCCGCGAAAAGGCAAATCCTTTTTCAAGGTCAAGCACGTGTCGCCCGTGTTACGTCCGCCAGTCAATTACCGCGGGAGGCGTCCTCACTCTTTCATCGCGCTTTTCGGCAGCGCGACCACACGCATACACGCATACACGCGAACGCGACTCTCCCTGCTTATAGGCTCGTTAATAGACATGCCGGGCTCTCTCTCTTACCTTACACTTCGACGTTGTCGGCTGCTGCAGGCTGCTGCAGGCTGCTGTATAATATAATGTAAATTCAAATATAGTATAGGTATATAAATTGTGTACATGCATGCGTGGGAAGAGAGAGACATAACGAATGAATTAAATTCGTTATAAGCTTAAGACTAGAAGTCGTTGAAATCAATAAATAATAAAATATACTTGTCGGCAAACTTGCCAACAGGATCGGTGTAGTCTAAAAAATTATAAAATTTATAAAAATTTATTATAACAACGCTATCTTAAATAATTAGTAGAATATATATAAAATACTTACATTAACCATAAAAATAATCATAGCATTTATTGTGCTTATTATTTGGGTATTATCCATTTCTTTTTTCTTTTTTTTATAAAAAATAAAGAACAGTTACTAAAAAATTGAGAAAGCTTCGTTTATGAGGTCTGTCCGGAAAATATCGGGCCTACCTTTATATTTTCGTGCTAGCGTTATTCTTTATCATCTGATGGGTGGCATTCTTCAAAGTAATATTCACTTGATTGAATAACATGTTTCTATCAATGTTTCCACTTTTCAAAACAGTCCTGGAACTGACTTTTAGGAATAGCCTTAAGTACACTCGTCACATTGTTTTCAACCGTTGTTTTGTCATCGAATCGGTGTCCTTTGAGTGGTTTTTTTAGTTTTGGAAACAGCCAAAAGTCACAAGGGGCTATGTCGGGACTGTGTAGAGGTTGTCGAAGCAATGCGATATTGTGTTTGCTCAAAAATTGCTGCACAAGATTGGATGAATGCTCTGGCGCATTATCTTGATGGAGAAGCCAGTCACCACTTTCCCAAAAGTGCGGCCGTTTTCTTCTTACTAGTGGTCGAAAGTTTCCTAAAATTCAATGTGACCCTGAAAAAGGATAGTCCACGCTGCTAGAACGTATCTTCATTTAAAAAGGAACATCGATTGTGCTTTAGACTCTCAGCATGAGATGTAGTGTTATCAGAGAGTGGTTGAAAGGTTCCCAAAATCAAAGCTTATCATAACAAATCATAGCAATGCAAAATCATAGCAAACTACTACTACTACTACTACTACTACTACTAGTGAAGCGGCACATATTCCTTATACATTGGCGGCATCCTTTGTCGGCTCCTTTGTGTCCCAGAACATACATTGCTTATCTACTAACGTAGCGAATTGCATTTCATCGCTGTAGTCGTTTCTGCAGTCCGTAGTATATCTTTAACGTAATAAAGCTTTAACTGGAATATTATATAGTAAAAGAAATATTTCAGGATAAGTTCTATCCCTATTATTATTTTCATTATTTAATAATTCACCATTAGTTTTTCGTCTAGGGTCTTCAAAAATGGTTAATAATTCTTTTGATTTTAACGTATCATCTGATTTTAGTGTTGCTACTCATTGGGAGCTTTCGCATTTTTCTGATTTCCGAAAAGCAATACTTACGCATTTCCCGACGAAGTACTAGGTACGTCTACGTCTAATGTAATACGGGGGGGAGGGTCAATAAGTCTTTACAAAAAGAAGGAAAAAAAAGTTTTGGGTATGTAATTTTTTTTTTATTTTTCAACATAATCTTCTTGAAGGTCGATACATTTTATTAAACGGCCTTCCAGTTTTTTTATGTCATCAGAAAAATATGATTTCTGAAAACCCTCAAAATAGACATTTGTTTCGGCGATGACTTCTTCATTCGACGTGAATCGTTATCCGGCAAGCCATTTTTTGAGGTTAGGAAATAAGAAAAAGTCACTGGGAGCCAAATCAGGCGAATATGGTGGATGGTCAATTAATTGGAACTTTAAATCGTTAATTTTTGCCATCGAAACTGCACACGTGTGAACTCGAGCATTGTCTTGAAGAAACAGGCACTTTTTTTTGTTAAACGAGTGAGAACGTTTTTCTCTGATTTTTTCTTTCAGCTAACCTAATAATGACGCATAATATTGTCCAGTGGTCGTATGGCCCTTTTCCAAGTAGTCGATGTGGACGATATCATACGCATCCCAGAAAACCGTGGCCATAATCTTGCCAGCTGACTTTACTCTCTTTGCCTTCTTTGGGGCTGGTTCTCCATCAGTAATCCATTGTTTCGAATATTCTTTGGTTTCAGGACTGTAGTGTTGTACCCATGTTTCGTCTACAGTTACGAGTCGACGCCAGAAGTCTTCCGGATTACGACGTATGAGTGGCAAAAGAGCCTCAGAGGTGACCACGCGGACTCGTTTGTTTTCAACAGTGAGCAAACGCGGCACCCATCTTGCTGATATTTTTTTCATCCCCAATTTTTCATGCGAAATTGAAATGATTGTACCGTTTGATACCTCTGTGGCCTCAACTAATTCTCGCAATTTTAATCTTCTATCATTCAACACCATATCGTGGATTTAGTTGACCATTTCGGATGTACTCACTTCTACGGGGCGTCCTGAACGAGGTTCATCTTTTATTGTTGTACGGCCGCGTTGAAATTCATTTACCCGTCATAGATTGAGACAGCAAACATAATAACTGAGGTTATTACTTAGTAAACTTTATTACTGAAATTATTTACTGTTTACGAAATTGTTTTAAAATCGTTTTGCAATTTGAATTGATCAGTATGAAATGTTTTAATTCGTCTACGATGGCTTTTTCTAACTTCTTTTGCTAACAGTAATAACTAAGTAATAACTAAGTTGTTATCAATGAAACGAATTCTTACTCATGTTTCTTAGATAGTTATCTTGAGTTGAGAGATGTTCATTTATTATAATAATTAACACATACAATGTTATAAACAAATTAAGTTCATACATTAAAATTCAACACTGTGTAATAGTTAAAAGTACTTGAAAATATTATAATCTTAATCTATGCCCTCAAATCTATATAAAAAATAATTTGTTTCATTGAAATAATTCTTAATAACGCATTTTAATTGAACAATAAAAAGTATCATATCTATATCTATAAGTAGAGTGACGTCACGCTCCTTATATGGTTATAAAATTTGACTCTAGCACTATTACAATCATATAATATGTGAGGTGGCGCCATTTAATATACTAATTGATATATCTAGATACAAGAGTCTAGTGGGTTGCAGTAATCTAGTGAAAATAAGAGAAGAGCTCATAAATAGGACTGTTACATGATGTATTGCAACGGTAGTCGATTGAATTAATCGATCCGTTCGCGATTCTGCTTCTAGCGCGTTAGTTCGAACAATTAAGAGAGAGAGAGGGGGCGCGCGATCATTTGAATAAGCAGTTACACCTCAGCTGTTCACGCGAGTTTACCGCCGATTTGTGTTTTGCACTTCGTTTCGCCGAGCGTTAGTCTTTCGGCCCAATAAAGACTGTAGTTTTTTTATTAATTAAAGTTAGTCAAATTTATTCGCTGATTACGTCATTTAATTTTCTCAGTAGCTTAAGCAATTTGTAAAAGGCTTAGTTTTAATCCGATTACATCTAGGGGATTAAGTGGATTAGGTATTAAGTCGCCCATACATAAGATTCATCAAGTGTTACAAGTCACGTGACTTAAGGTGATTTAATCTCCATTCAACAGAAGACACTTAGGCGAAATTATCTGACGTAAAGGCGAATACACGTATAATTATACGTGTTTAATGCAGCGGCGGTTAGCTCTACATCGTGAGAGTTTGTTCTTAAATAAATTTCTCATTTTTCAGTTAACCTCCCCCGTTACAGTATATATAATAAAACGTTGTTCGATTGAGCGAGTGTATCTTTATCCGATCCTTATCCAGACGTTAACTTCGCATATGATTACTGTACACATCTGGTACACTATTTAGCCATAAGAGTGTTCATGTTTTCCAAAACCATCCTTTCAAATAATTCCTACGTACAACAGCGGGCTTAACCTTTTCGTTTTTTCAATTATTTTTTCATTACAAAGAATAGAAAATATTACCTAAATTTTATCACAATTTCAGTGTTTATCAATGAGATTAACAATGAATTTCCAGTGATAAAAATGATTAATAATAAATCTCATTCTTAAAAGCACAGGAAAATATGTTGCTTTTACCAACTACGTTCAAAGTACTGATATAAATCTAAGAATTGTCGGTTTATTAGGATTTATAAACGTTTAACTCAATAAATTCTCAATATATTTATAAAGTCATAATATTTTCGAAAAACTATCTTCAGGCTCTTATTAACAATTGTAATGTACATATTCATATTCTTTAAAATTGGAAATGCTTCGAAAATATTTCATGTATTTAAAAAAATAATTACTATTCGAACTGATTTTTTCTACTTACTTGATCTTGTCTTGACAAAAACTGCATGAAAAGAAAAATTAATAGATGTACTGTTTCTGCATCAGTTTCTTCTAGATCAATAATTTTATGCATAAAAGATGATAGCGATCCATCGTCTGTCATATTAAAAGACGGTAAATGAACATCTGTAGATTGAAATGATATATTAATAATTTTTTTATTAATAATAATTGGCGGTAAAAATATTTTTCATCAATTTACAGATAGATGCGATTAGAAATAATTCAGTTCATTGAATTTTGACTACTAGGACTGAAAGTCTGGAAGCGGTAGTGGCAAAGCAAATAAAAATAAATATTGACAATTGTTACACCGATGTAAACTTTCTTAGCACTATATTATTTATTCTAAATAATAAATTTTAACTTTTTTTCTACTGCGTAAATTTGAATAAATATACTTATATGACGTAATAATTAAACGGTAAGATCAGTAAATTATGTTCGCATTTAGGCTTACTAAAAAGAAGTGAGCAACTTGTTTCGCTTCTCTATACAGCCTGCTTCAGCAGCTGCAGGATGACGCTGACTCGAAGTAGGAGAGACTTAAAGTCTCATTTTACAATTAGAAATAATTATAACAAGCGAATACCTTCGAACTAGCGAGTACTCCCTTCATAAATAATCTAGTTTGATTCTATCTGTTTATTGGGTTTTTATTGATATTTTTATTGGTTTTATTGGGTTTTATTGGGTTTTATTGGGGGTTTATTAGGGCTTTATTGAGGTTTTATTGGGTTTTATTGAGTTTTTATTGGGTGTATACCAATAAATTTAATAATTCAAGGTTTAAGGATTACATTTTTTATACTAGTAATCTATGTAACTTGACTTTATATTCTTGCTTAATACTAATATAATAATCGTCATCGATTATATACGGGATTATATATAGGATACTTATATAATTTGAAACGGAAGAAAATATGTATAGATTAATTCTGACTTTCGTTGGGTTGCACGAAGTCGAAATTGTCACGCAGTATTATTTTTTCTAAATGTTCTCGCGTAAATATGGATGCATTATGTTGTTTGCTACGTAGCTGCATTGAGCGAGATTGAGAATACAGTGGAACTTGTAAATCTGAAAAGATGACTATTATCTGTAGCATGAAAAATTTTACGCTGCCTGCCAACCAGCAACTTCATCAATAGGCATCAATGAGTGCAAGACATAGCTCCTTAATAGGTTGGCGTTATGAGTACTCTAACAATAAGTGAAGGTTACAGCTAGAAGTACTGAATAATAACATGAACGAGCTACATGCTGTCTTTTTGCAACATTACAGCTAGCTGTCTTCCCCAACATGTCCCAAAACTGTATAGTTTGATGTACTTCTCCATTCGAGTTTTTAGGTGTTACGTAGCTTGTAACTATCTTAAAACCAGATATTTGGAAGGATCTTGTTATCGAGTGTGTTATTGGTTTAGCTTCAAAAGTTCTTCGCCGTTATATTTGTTTGTTAAACTGAGGCATGCAAAGACTTTATTGTAAGAACATGATCACTTTGCGTAGATAGTTACGAACGAATCCCTAACTTATTGTTAATGTCGTGCAATAAAGTAAAATTCTACCGATAATTACACAGTCTCAAAAAAAAATTTTAAGTACCATAAACTAGACCAAGATATACTCCCCGTCACGTGCTTTTGCCAATCTTAGAAAAAAAATATGAGAAGCACAAAAGTATAATATTTTGGTGAAAAATTATCGCAGCTTTAAAGTTCCAACGTGATTGTTTTTTGTGAGTCCAGAGTTTTCAAAAAAAAAAAAACTATTGCAGACTAAAAAAGAACTAAAAAACGTGTTATTTAAAACAAAATAATGATAAAAAATCAAAATATTTAACCCTGATGAATCTCTGTATAACTTTTGAACCAGTTGTAACATCTTAAAAATATCAATAACGTTGAAAAGCTTATACTTTTAGCTTGAAAATGCGAGGTCAAGTAAGTTATACGTAAATTTTTACGCAATTTACAAGTGTATTAGTAAATAATTGATTGTATTTTTCAAGTTCGAACATTTGAAAAATTAATTAGGTTACAAAAAAGTTATAATTAAAAAAAAACTATATCTTTTTACATCAAAAATATAAATTTAAAGTAAAATAAGCAATTCGGAAATTTTTTCTTTACTTTTTCATGGATTTAAAGAAAACCAAAGGTTACAATTCTGTTGAAAAAATGTTTTAATTGTATTAAATAATCGGAATATATAAACTATTCATTCATAACTAACAATAAAATAAATAAATAAAAAACATTAAATAATACAATAGATAAATAAATTTTAAAAATAGAACAAAAATATATAGAATTATTTTTATAAATAAATGAAACAAAAAATGTGAATAACTGCATTTTTATATGGACTATGACGGGGTAAGATATTTGGTGGAATACGGAGTGTCTAGATTCGCGGGCAAGCCTCTTTACGTGCGCATGAATAAGCGCGAGCGTCGCGGTGATGTCACACGATGGCGCACGCTTTAACAACGCTCTATGCGCTTATAGAGGATTACCTCCACAGGCAATTACAAGTGTTGCCTCTCTGTCGGTTCTTGCATCGTGACCTTAACTTGAGCGTATTTCTTGGCCTCCAGACGAAGTCCCCATTGATTGCTGCCGTTACTTTTATTAGGCAGCTTCAGCCTCGCTCGGAGGTATTGTTGCATTCCGTTAACTGCAAATGGATGGGAAAGTAGAAGAGCGTACGGTACGAATATACGAGTGTGAAAATGAATGCTTCTAAAGGACCAGTCAATGATTAACACACATCGGTTTTAATTATCACAACGGCATGATTTATTAGCCTACGATTCATCTAGAAATTGAGGTCTGTGCCGCGATGATAATTATTAGTGTGTGTCAAATGCGGATGCCACCATCTTATTCACTGTCACGAGCACGCAACGATCGCTCGCCTACAAATGTTTCACGATACGCGTACAATGATCACGTCGCAGTTTCTGAGCTCACATGAGATTGACCGGTGATCTATCTCGCTAGTTTGACCGCAGTTGTAGATGGCTGCTCACAACTTCTCTTGTCCTCCGCGTTTGCTCAGGAAGCCTTTCTTTTTATATAAGGGAGATAATACACACAATAACTTTCGGGCACGCCCGATGTTGCAGCTCGAGAATCTGAAATTTAGCGGAAGCACATTTGTATCTCACAATCAGAACAGTCTCTCCAGCACTGGTTTGTCTATCTCGCCCTCTCTCTCTCTCTCTCTCTCTTCGTATGCGACATACATGTTCCCTTCTTAGCCGGTAGGTGCTGCTCTCTCGGGCAGTTCCACTCATGAGACGAGTGCGCGGATATAACGTTCGTAGTTACAAGATTAAATTTTTTTTCATCAAAGTGACTGCCTTTACTTTTAATAATGGCTTTGCAAATTCTTGGCATACTTTTAAAAAGTTTATTGAGAGTGGTTGATGATATTTTTTTCCACTTGCTTTGTAGGGTGATTCACATCACAGAAGCAAAATTAGAAACAATCTTTCTAACTGCACGTTCTAGCTCTTCCCAAAGAAACTCAATAGGGTTTGGGTTTAAGTCTGGACTCTTAGGTGGCCATTCCATAAGAGTAAGTTTTTTTTTCTTTTTAAGATTCGCCAAGTAATTTTTACAGATTTTTGAGTTATGCTTGGGATCATTGTCATGCTGAAAAATAAAAGGAGTACGGACAAGTCGAGTTCCTAATGACAAAACGTTCTTTTGTAAAATTTATCTGTATCCTTATTTTTTTTTTTAATCCCTTATATTTTTATGAGATTACCAATTTGTGACCCTGCAAAGCAGTCCCACATACTTCTCCATGTTTAACGCTTTGAACTAAACATGCACTTAAAAACTTTTCACCGAATCTTCTTCTTATATAAAATTTTCTCTGACTTCCAAATTCTCTAATTTGGACTCGTCACTCCAGAGAACGTTTTCCCACTGTTAAATTTTGTAATTTTTATGTTGTTTTGCCCATATCAATCTTTTTTTAACGTTTGCAGGTTTTAGAAGTGGTTTTTAATGGTCACTTCACCACGAAGTACTTTTTCATTGAGTCTTCGGAACATTCTCTGACTTTATTTGTTAACTTCTAGTCTGAGTAGTTAAGCAATATATGTTTCAAGCTATCTCATGGGGAGGTCCAGATGGCTTGAAACATATATAGAGATTTGCACATGCACGCGCGCGTGCTGCGCACGCATTGCGGGAGGTCAGCGAGTGGGTGGTGCCTCCCGATGACTCTCCGGAGTCATTCCTTGACCTAGTCGCGATCCCTCAGAGCTCTCGCCCCTATTAATAAATAATAAAATAATAAATTTTATTATATAGACTGTCAAGATAGATTTATTCTATAGAGGTTGGAAATGTAGGACGCTGTAGAAGTTGGTAGGACGCTTGGTAAGCTATATGCTGGCTAGGTGTGGGCCCTCGGAGAAAGAGTAGCGTATCTAGCTTAGTAAGCTATATGTTGGCTAGGCGTGTACTCTGTATAGCGTGGATACTGTTCTCTGTCTGTCTGTCTCTCTCTATCTCTTTCTCTCTCTCATGCGTTCTAGCAACGTACGCTCATCGTACAGCATGGCTGCTGCTCTCTCTCTCTCTCTCTCTCGCTCTCCTTCGATAGTAGGGCGCTACATAAGCATATGCTGGCTAGGTGCAGGACCTTGAAGAGGAGTTAGTGTTTCTAGCCTGAGATGCACTCTCTCTCTCTCTCTCTCTCTCTCTCTCTCCTTCGACAGTAGAGTGCTTAGTATGCATATGCTGGCTAGGTGCAAACCCTCGTAAAGTGGGAAGCGTCTGTAACGCCTGAGGTGAGCTCGCTATGAAAACGGATACCGTCTCTAGCTTGCTGAGCTATATAGTGGCTAAGTACTTTTCTAATAGTGTAAATGCTTCTCTCTCTCCTTCAACAAGCTATAGCTGTATAGTAGAGAGAATTTGTATACAGCGTATAGCGTGGTTGCTATTCTTTCTATCTCTCTCTATTTAAGCAAGCGCTATAGTAGTCTCATTCGATTTCGGAAACCTTCGACTCCATAGTTAATTTTATTCGAATATTAATTAATAGAACTTATAGAATTTTCATTTAATTACTAATTTATTGTTCAATTATATAT